TGCACACATTACATAAATAGAGTTTGTTTTTTTTATCTGAAATTCAACAGTTATGACAAATTGTGTCAGTTTTCATTACAGAAAAAAGTAGATTCAAAAGTAAAAAGGAAATGATGTTCTCTGATGTCAGATACACATTCTCTGTGCTCAAGTCTGACCTGTGTCAGACAAACACAGCATCTGAAACACTATAGCCACAAACAATTATTCTAGTGTTAACTAGTTAGATATTCCAAATTACAATGTATATTAAAGTATTATATAACCCCAATTCAATAATTAATCCTAAAATATTGAAGTTCTGACATTTATTCTCCAAACCTCACAGATTATAAATCCAATTCCAACTTTCTAACCATCATGGAAATAAATTTCGCCTGGTAAATCACATGTACATAACTCACAGAGACGGCCATATGGTCATCAGCATAGATTTCTGTCTCAGAACTGAGTGGAATAAACAGTGATTGTAACTGATGAACATACTGGTAATGAAATCACAGGTTGTAAAAAGACAGGCAGTATGGTCTTACCTTGATATTTTTAGCAGGGCAGCCTGCGTTGTCTGTGGACAATCTGGTCATCTAGTGCCAAAGTTGTTGCCCATCAGCGCCGAGTAAACCCAATCACAATCACACACACATGCCTGGGCTTACAGCGGGCCCTATTCTGCCCTGCCTGACTTAAGACACAAACACATACTCAAGCAGGCATGTACCCACTCACACACACACACACACACACACACACACACACACACACACACACACACACACACACACACACACACACACACACCGAGCGTTAGAAAAAGAACCTTGCCCTTAATCCAAGACTTTTTGATGCACATTTATAGGGCCAAAAAGGAATGAGAGACAGACACAGATTCACAAATTAAGCTGCAAAATATAGAAAATCAGTAGCAGACGTATACATAAGTGTTTGAGCACGAGAGAGAGCTTACTTATATAAATCCCAGCCCGTCTGTGCCCTGGTCTAACTAACCCATTTACGGCCACCTGCAACCTACTGGGCCAATAGGCTTAGTACAGGCAGTGTACAGTACTTAGCCTTTGTATGTGTGGTGAGAGGGAGAGAAAGATAAGAGCAGCCTGGATACAGATCGACAACACAGTCACCGTCATGTTGACATTAAACAATAACGTTTTTCCTCACCCCCCACCCACATATAAATATGAATATGAGGACACTCAATCACAAAAAAGTATTCCCTAGCCCCTTACCCTGATCCTAAACCTAACCAGCCCAACCCTTACCCTAAACTGACCTCACATTATGTCTTGACCTTCAAATAACTTTGAAGTTGCGAGGGCCGGCCGCAATGTGCTGACAATAATGGCAATGGAAGTCAAAAAGTAAAGGTCCACACAAAGTAATAAAGACATGTACAAAACATCCAGTTTCTCCTTCTTGTTAAAATCCAGCCTGTGTGTAAGTGTTGGGTATGGACTGGGTTAATCCTTATTGCAACACACACAAATCCACAAACAGGCACACACACACACACACACTTGCATACAACTGAAAAAGGGGACAGGAGGAGGAAAAATGGAAGGGAGTAATGAGACCAGGTGTGGCTAACAGCCCTTTATGGTTCAATGGTAGGATAATTCCTCCTGTCAAACACAAACAGCTGGATATGGAAACTATCATATGATTCATTTTTGACCTCATGACTTGTAAGCTTGGGTGGACAGATGAATAAGTTCACAGTCATACTTTGGTCTGCATCCCACACCTTAGCACACAGTAAACCTTGGAGCCCTTGAAGCAACACGTAGGCTACTGTGTAATCTTTTAAAACTAAGGCTAGAGTTTACATGTACAGAATTTGCCTTCAGGAATACCAGGAAGGGGTTAAATCTGAAACAAACTCAGTTTCACAACCTAGAGATGTGCTGTCAGCGAGGTGACAAATTTATTTTTTGTATTAACCTTCACTTCCTGGTACAAACAACGATAGACAAAAGACACAAGCAATCCAGTAAAAAAGAAAACAAAATCTTTATTATTTTGTCTAGAAGAACAGGCTGTTTTGGAAGATGGTGTCAGGGAAATATTTGAAAGGTAAAAGCAGCCAAGGAACAGAGTGGAGTCAAACAGCGCAGAGGTCAGGGCTAAAATCTGGATTTCTATAGTTATGCCAGGGCTCCCATTGGGTCCCAGGCAGGAAGTACAATTGGCTCCTGCTGCATCACTTCCAGGACATCAGATGAGAGGAACTTCTTGTCTACCACCACCTCGTACACGTACTCAGAGAACCAGTCGTCTGTCATGATCAGGTAACCTACAGAGACAGACAGAGAATAGGCTGCCAATATCCAAACCTGCTTTCATGTTCTTTGACAACATTTAATTGTGACGTTTTGTGCCACTGTGTGAGCAGGAAACAACGTCATCAATCTGGTTTTGTGTGAAAGCAGTCCGACTTAAAAAAAATGGTGAGAAAGATGAGGTCACTTCCTGTTGCCATCTTAGCTTAGCTGAAAAGAAGTTGTTTTACTTGAAAAATTTATTTTCATTCCACATCATTAGAAGAGTCTATGAGGGTCTGAGACATACCTTTTCGGGTGAGTGTTATGAAACAATGGTATGGAGTTAAAACGTTCAGCAAGTCTCAGTTTTACAGGTTTACAAAAGATTATCTCTCTACCTCTAGTTGACTTCATGCAATTCCCTTCATACTGTCTGATCAGTCACTCAAACACCAATTTCCACAGATAATCCTTGTGTCAAGTCAAAAGCACTTTTTCAATGCAAGGTAAATAGCAAATTGTGCATGGTGTCCTTGAAAACCACAGCTGCAACAGTTTTGGCTTATGTGCACTAGCCTCCTGATGATCTTGTACCCTCGCCCATTTTTATGAAGTCTCACAAACTAGTATCTCACTTGTTCGTGCCAGTCATTATCACAATCCTGGGTAAAACTGAGAACGCTGTGTTATTCTGAGATTATTTCACAACCTTGTTCATCATATTATCCTTAATTAGAAATCACAAGTGTACTCACTTTTGTTGAACTGTGGTTGTACTTTGAGCCCCGTATTTTTCCATGTAGGTACAGTATATCTAATCTGTTTGTTTTTAATGACACATGAAATCAAAATGCACATAATATACCAGTACATCTTTGCTTAAAGTTTGGTTTCCTCTGTCTTTCATCTTTCAGTTTTCACACAGTTGCTGTTATGACTCTGCTCTGCCCACAACTAAAACTTTGGCATCACTTTAGACAAATGTTTGGCGATATACTCTTAAGTTTTTACTTTTAATTTAATAGGACATTAGCCTGAGGTCGACTCCATTTGTCATGAGCCCCCAGTTAAATGAGTTTGAGATGGAGACAAAGAAATGTGATTCTGTTGTTAAATAAATAAAAGAAGATAATAGTAATGTGGATAGAAAGGTTTCCTTTCAGAACAGATTTGTGTGAAGAGAGGCTTCAATAGCTTTCAAGTATGCTTCTAATCTGTTGCCAGTATTTTGCACCCAAACCAAGCCTCATATCTTTCCCTTCGCCTCATGTAAAGGTCCCCTTTCATTTTCTTTTGGAATGAACACTGCTTTTCTGTGGACTTACTGCAACCCCGAGGGTGTACTGTTCCTCATCTATTCTTAGGTACCAAACATGAAAATAAATAATTGACATGGAAAAAATGTGAACATAGTGCCACACTTTCTTCACTGCTGTTGAGTATCAGCAGTATTTCACAGATGGATCTGGATGAATTAAGCCTGAATACTTCAATCAAGTCCCTCCCAGTTATAGTGAATGAGTCAAGCCCCAATTTTCTTTTTCAAGTTGGGACATATCAAACTACATGGGCTGATCACAGTCTCAAAACCACTTGTTTTGAACTTCATCTGACTTATGTAACGTTTATCTTTAGGCATCGGTAGGGGAATCTGGGAATAAAAACAAAAATCTTAGGTTTTTGTGATATGTCAAAATCATGGTCCACTTCCCCTGTTTTAGAGATTTGTGTATATGGTCTTTGCAGTTCATGTTAGCTAGCTATAAGTTAGTGTTGCATCCAGTTTCAGCATATACGTCAGCTGATTTTCTAGAAAATCTGCAAAGCATTTCCAGCCATATTTGCTCTGCAAATATTAGAAGTTGGGTTCATCAGTCTAAATAGCTGGTGGTGCTGTTTCTCTTCTTAAAGTTCCATTAAGCTAGTGCACATGAAGCGAACACAACAAGGTGGATGTCATTGAAAAATTTAAACTCCAACTTTTTATGTGCAAATTGAAAATGTACATTGAAAAGCAAGATAGGTGCCCCACACTCTTCTACCTTCGTCTGTTCAGAAACGGGACAGTCAGCCTGTCCATAAAAACAAATAATGACACCTAACTATCACTCATTGACACACACACACACACACCATGCCACCCAACATACCGGTTCCAGGACGCCCACATCAACACACATGGACACCGCAACGAGAACCAGGCAGTGTGCCATCTAAGATTTGCGTACTTGGAAGAACGTGCTTATACAACACAAAGCAGCATGCCACATTGTTTTGAACTGTGGCACATTCTTGCAGTTCCCCTGACATATTTGATAAGTCAGCTTGACAGTGGTAGGGATGCTCTTGTTTACTAAACTTGATTCACATGAGGCGGGGGAAAAGCAGAGACAGAGTGAGGGGTGGCATCAGGGGAAGATAAGAGTAAAATAACTTGGTCACTAGTTGATCTGGGTTCCAGTTCTCATCCAGCTTGTGTTAGCTCAGTGCAAGATTTGAGCTGCTGTGGTTTCATATAACATTTAGACGTCATTATTTACTGTACATAGAAACCACACGCACAAAGAAATCTTTAATTTTAGTTAATAATTTCACCGTAAGGCTACAGCCTATTCCCAAAAGACATGAGGATATTCCAACATGTCTTCCGTCATTGCAAGTTCAAACTTTTATAACCACCCCAGATCTGGCCACGTTGACCTTGTGTGATTGCACACACATGCACACAGAGGAAAAGAGACACAGACATTGTTTAGTTTTATCAGGGTGGGGGTATAACGGTGTTGAATTCATACTGTAATGCAGGGTGTGGGAGTGCAACCCATGAGGAGCAGGGCTACTTCTTGTCCTCTCGCCTGTTGAAACAATAGAGTTTAGTGATAAAGAGCACTTAGAAGCAATTAAAACATGCCTGCATAAACATCATGTTTGACCGTTCTTAGCAGTGCTCCCTCCCTACTCCTCCCCTTTCAATGAAAGAAAAGAAACAGTAATCAGTTTAATTTGTAGTAATAAGTGTTATTAACTTAACTTTTTCTCTCTAAAATGATGTGATGTAAAGGGTTTCTGTGAACTGACAGACTGATTTTGGCCTTTTTCCTCATATCCAGCTATTTAAACAGCCCATGGCATCCTTTTCCTTGTTTTCTTATCTACAATGTTACAATGGTGTATTATCATCTCAACTAAAGCTCAAAAAATTAGGTGTACATTTGTTCTAGTACTTCTATGCAGAAGCAACTCAGTTTATACAAGTCTTGCAAACTCTTACTTAAAATAAAGTATAACACAATAGTTTAAGGATCTTTTTGAATGGCCATATTCTCCAGGCTGTTGCATGTTCATGTGAGCTTGCCTGACCATCCACTGTGCCGTTGTAAAAGCGGGACTTTTTCGACTGCGCCCAGTTTTGTGGATATACTTTCCCTCTTGCTGCTGCACTGTGACCAGAGGATGTGGAGAAAAACACAGGACCTGAGGTTACTGCATGTCCGGGAATGTTCATGTACAGGGACCTGCTGTTTTACCTGACTGGGTCTAACCTACAAGCAGCCGACATGTGAAGACCCCGGCGGCGGTGACTGATCAGCTCATCAACGCTGGATTCCCCCAGAGCACAGTACCTGTTTGTTTAGACTGCTTGAGGTCAATGTGTCTGCCGCATGTGATGCGTTGCTGGTTAACAAGCGGATTAACAATCCATGATGTTATTGTCGACCCTACACTACCTGTTGGAATTCATTTTTCTACTTTGGGATTGTATGTGGTCATCTGTAACGCAAGAGATTTGTGGGGGAAGAATCACTGATCACCAGTTGGATTTACTGACCTTGGAGAGAATGTTTCCACTACTCAGGGGGGCTTAATGGTAAGTTTAAAAAACACATGTTGCATGTCTGTTAATGCGTTGGTTCTGTAATGTTAGAGAGAACTGTTGTAAGGCTGGAGAAGTTACCATGTCTGCACTATGCCAGTTTCTCAATTACATGTTTTGTTTAGGGTGTTACATGTCTCTTTTCATGGGTACATATACCATTGTTTACCTAACTATGGAGGAGAAATTCAAATTAATCAATGCCATTGTGGTACTCTTGTTTTTAGGAGGAGGTTCTCGGGTTTTATCTTTCTGGAATAATTACAGACTTTTCGGAGTTATGAGGGGTGCCAAGCTAATCTAGAGATACTCAAGATTAAACATTAAATGGCTGGAAATGAGCAAAATGAGCATGCTGTGGGCTCTTTAAACCTCTGATGAGAAACTTCTTCAGGGTTAGAAAGAATATTAAAAGGCCTGAAGGGAGACATTAAGCCTTTACAAACATTGTAAACACACTCCACTCTTTCTCTCTGCCCCACAGCTATTACCACTAATCCTCTAATTTCTCCTTTGCCATCTTAAAAATCAGCTCTATCTCTAGTTGCCTTTGTTTTCCATCTACCTGTACAATAACTTTATTTCCGTTTCATCTCTCTCCTTTTCTTTTCATCACTTGTGCCTTTTTCCCCCTTAGCTTTTGTCAAACAAACAAAGTCCCTGGATTCCCAAGTGAACTCTCAAACCTTAGTTCTCAAAAACTTTATTAATTTGGCTGTGGGCTGGCTGGGGGCTCTGGCCTTCCCCATCTGCTGGTGTTTATGGAATAGGATATGCATGAAATACATCTGATTTGACTGAGAAGTTTTCACATGTTTTCCCAACAGTCAACGGTTTGTGGGTTCAAACAAATATTGTGAGTATCTGTGTCTCTCTGTGTGTATATGCTGTACTGTATGTGTGCATTGCCAGACTGGCCTGAAACACTCTCCTATAATTTGCAGTGGAACGTTGAGTGCAAAGATGAAGAGGGTCAGAGGAAGATGAGAAACAGAGATCATAGGATAGGGGGATTGCAAAAGTAGACAGTAACGTCTGGGGCACTGCTGTCGAGTACCTAATGTCATGTGGGGCCTCTTGCATAAAGACAAACCAGTCTTACTTACTTTATAAAAATCATCTACATTTTTTCCTGACTTACTGGTAATTTGCACAGGACTGACTTTGTTTGTTAAATTACATTGAAATTTGGTTTAAAAACAACAACAGTTCACCCCTAAAACACAGAAATCAAGGGGAAGGGAGTAAACAGCACCGTACAGAGAAAGAATCTTTGGGGGCTACAGCTACAGTACCAGTACAATAGTTCACAAAGTAGCCCTGTGAGTAGTCGCTATGTCACCAAGCCTACAGAGCCACAAATTTATCAAAGATGTGTAGGAATTTCTCTGTGCTACTTTCTGGCCTCAAAGATTAGCTCATTCGCAACTGCATTTATGCAACTGTCCCAGAGGCACTGAGTTCAAAACACACAATAAGAGCTGCTGTTCCTGTGTGTATGTTTTTAAGTCTTTATGAAACAGGACACAGCCAATTACAAGTTCATAAAGCAGCAACACAGGGGAACCTCTCCATCTAATCTAATCCTGACCGCTCTACCTCCTGAGCCACAGCTGCCCAAAATGGGTAAAAGTCCCTCGAGTACATCGTGATTTGGACCGAAGCCCAGGGAAGATTGGAAGTCAGTTGCATCAGTGCACCCAAATAATTTTTCACATCAGCACACTTAGATTTTTACTCCATACACCAGTGAAATGCTCACACTCCTGGTATGTATATGTATATATAAATAAATCACACCCTTAGGAAAATAACTGAAAGTTGTTTTATCATGTGTTATGTGTTACCTTTGTTTCCTCGATCATCCCCCCAAGAGTTTTCTACCCTCCACTTTTCATAGCCTTCTTTCTCTTCCTGAAAAGAGAAAGATTGAAAGACAAGCTGATGGGAAGATAAGAATGAGAAGCAGAGACAAGAGAAAAGAAATTGTCCTGGCTGCTGAGGTTTAATTTTGAGGGAGAAAACTGAAAGTGTTATGAAAAAGTGCAGTTAATTAATGTAGTATAAATATGTAGGGTATAGCTGAATGTATAGCTTTGATGCTATAAAACTAGGGAAACTGAGAATGTGTGTTTTCCAGTTGGTCTACTAGTATATGTGCTGTGTGTCTGGATGAATTTACTGAACAGTGACACACCTGTAGAGTACGTTTGTGTGCAAGTACCTTGTCTGTAACTGCAGTTAGGATCATAGCGTGGGTCATGAGAGAGTCTCCATATATCAGCCGCTCTGCCTTCGAAAGGTTCTTCACTGAAACTCCAAAGACAAGCTCGTGGTTGAACCTGCACATACACACACACCGACATGTCATTACATACTGATCATCCCAAGATCAAACGGTGTCAGTGTTTTGATATCTTTATGGGTAATTGTCCATATTAAATTCCAACAATCCTAAAATATCTTTCAAGCATGACTGTAGAGATGAGGCCCCATTAAGCCTCAGCGTCATTCCAATTATAATCTTCTGGCGCAAGGAAAGATCTGTCTGAAAATGAGCTTCAGCAGAGATGGTAGCAGACATTCAGCATCAGACTGACTTGGTTCGGTGGGCATATTTAAGCCTGGCGCCAGAACCTCAGACACAGATGCTGCACCTAAAGGACAAAGATAAGCAACCTTTCCCCTGCTGAAAGGCTGACACCTAATGAAAGCAGATGAGGTCTGTTCCAGTCATGCATCCAATGGAGCCAAATAGACGTAAGCAGTTCACTGGTAAAACACATTTTAAGAGTGTTGGGCTGATTGGTGTTCAGCCAAACAAGTCCAATATTTTAGACAATTTCCAGCATCTAGGATGCAGCTGTATTCACTTTCTGTATTCTCCCTAAAGTACTGTATTATATTAAATAAACAGTATGTTACTTTTTTAGCTGGAATATATGTCAAAACATATCTAAATTTGGAGAGGTGATTCAGACTCACAGCCTGACTTTAGTTGAAGCAGCAAGCACAATGGCAATGCACAGTACTATGGAGGGAGCATCATGATGTGGGGCTGCTTTGCTGCCTCTGGACCTGGACCACTTGCCATTGTGGAGGGAAATATGAATTCCCAACTTTATCAAGGTATCCTACAGGATATCCACAAGCTGAATCTCAGAACAAGCTGGGTGATGCAGCAGGACAATCCCTATCCCTACCCTATCCATCAAAGTTAATCTACTACAGAATGGCTTTGGAGGCACCAAATCCGCGTTCTGGAGCGGTCCAGTCAAAGCCCAGACCTCAACCCAATAGAGATCCTGTGGAATGACCTCAAGTGAACTGTTCACACTCAGACATCCTAAGAATATGGCTGAGCTGAGGCAATTCTGTCTGGAAAAATTGTCCAAAATTCCTCCTGAACATTGTACAGATCTAATCTACAGCTACGCTCACTTGAGATTATTGCTGCCAAAGGTGGTTCAACCAGTTATTAAAACAGTTGCCATACCTTTTTCCACTTTGTATGGTTACTGGGTGGATTCAATAAAAACATGAAAGATCATGAATGTTTGTGTTTTATCAGCTTAGAAACATTTTGTCTGTTGATATTTGTGACTCTGGTGAAGATCAAATCACATTTCATGACCAATTTATGCAGAAAACCTGGAAACTGCAAACAGTGCCTTTACTTTTTCCTTGCGGCTATATACAAGTAGTCTGCAAATTATACTCACACATTCATGTCATTAATGCCCAGCTTGCCATGGAAATGTTTCCCAACATCACAACCAAACCACACCGCCTGAGGAAAAACAGCAGCCATGTTCAGATTTCAGAGGTTCACACATGAAAACCAACTCAAATACACGGCCTTGCGTCCACAAATTTATACCAGTTTGACCCGAATTACCTCTCCGTCCTTGATCGACTGTGCCGCAGCCTTTTTAAGCAGCTGGATGGGCTGGTTGTTATACAGAGTTTTGTGGCCACCAACCATATTACCCAGGAAGTCGACAGTGTACAGTTTCCCATATGAGTTCTGGGGTCGAGGGTCGTTCACAAGGCAGACCTGACGATACAGAGTTGGTGTATGAGCTCAGAAAATACACAATTTAGAAAGTGATGTTCTACATGTTAGTAACCAATAGCTTTTCACCAAGTTTCATCTATCTTAATACAAGATGAGGTAGAATTCATTGTTGTTAGTAGATTTTAAAAAATGTCTAACAACACAGTGCTAAAATTTGTTTGACAAAGGCAGACACAGTTTGCAGTAAGTACAGCGGCCTGGGGAATATGGCAGCAGCTTGCTTAGTCAAAACATTAAGTTTCACTGCCAATCTGTTGCGTATAAAGGCCCACATACTTTGTCCTCAATGTTGTATAGGGGTTTGACGTGCTCCCTGTAAAACTCCTGAGGGGTGAGGGGTCCTATGCGATGGAAGTTCTTGTCCTTGTCCCTGTATTCCCAGCAGATGGTGTCTGGAGGGCTGCCTAGGCAAATGCTGGCCACCCGGAATATCTGCACAGCACATGCACACACCAGTTGAACATCTTTACAAAACCGCAATCAGACAAATCTACGTTAAACTCATATTTAGTATTCACAAACAGACAGTTGTTGTATCAAAATATCTACATTTCAGAAAAATCCAGTGATGTGATTGTATATAGTGCATGTGTACAGGAACACCTTACTACTACTGCAGACTGGGGGCTGTACCTTATGAAAATAGACATTTGTGTTATTTCCTGCAGTGGCACCACTTCACTATTGCAGAAAAGGGGAAACACCACAAGTCAAACTGAGTAGTCACATTTGTACTTCATGGTCTTTATGGAGTTTCTTGGAGAAGCTTACAGATCCAGTTTCTTGCTGATATTCTTGATATGCATCCGTCTAACCACTCCAACTCCATTTCTCTCCTTGCAGTCATCTGTCAATGATTGGACCCCTCTCAAGTTTCCCTATACTTTCCTCTCTACTGTACATTGCTCCTCTCTTTGCCATATTTTTTCATATCCCTACAATTCCCTATTTGTATCCCACACCCTTTCCCGCTCCGTTCATCTGTGTCTTCCTGCAGTGCTTGAGTTCAGACCGAGTTCCTGTGAGCTAAATCGGGTTGTTTGGACTGGGCCGTCAATCTGGCTCTTCTAACCTCTGATATCTGAGGAATTTCCCCCTTTTGCTTTTCACCTCTCCCATCCTCTGTTCTCACAACCCAGAACTCACCAGATGCTTTTCCAATCAAATCTGACTAAAAAGTGGCTGAGATTTAGAGATTTTTTCATCTTTAGCTTATTTTAAACTTACATGAGACTAATGATTGCAGCATTTTAACACAAGTTGTGTCTTTGTCTCAAGTTTTCCTTCGTCTATACCTATGGCTGGCATGTGGCCTCATGATATAAAATACCACGGATGTGCTGCAAGGGTTGTTTTGAACATGACTTCTTGACATGCTGTAAAATAGACCAATTTGTTTTTGCAACTCACTATAAAGCCACAAAATCTAGGAAAAAGGAAGAGTTATGGGTTAGATTGCCACAAAAGGTATAAGGTATGGGACAAATAAAGGATTTGTATGTCAGGGACTTCCCTAGCAGGTTAAAGCAGAGAACCCTTCTGACTCTTTGTGAAGGTTGTACCTTCTGTGCTATGTTCACCCAAGCTTGTTAAGTAAACTGCCTGAACAAGTAGATGATGACATTTCTTCTATCCTAATATAAGATGAGGTACAATTCAATGGTAGATTTAAGAAATGCCTAACAACACAGTGATAAAATTTGTTTGTCAAAAGGCAGACACACATGTACAGCAGCCATGGCAGCAGCTTGCTTAGTCAACACATTAAGTGCCCCTACATAAATATGATAATTCTTACATTTGATTAAGGAGACACTGAGCTTTCTAAAGCCACTACTCTCACTCCAAACATACCCAGGTACATTATCGGAGAGACAAACACACAAAATGCATAAATTCACGTCTGGCTTACACAAACAAGCCTCTTCTTCATCAAAGAAATGTGTAAAATCAGAAGTAAAAGAGTACAGACACACACAAAAATACACAAATGTGGTAGGTCAACAAAGGCATCTGTTCAACCCCTCATCCCTCAAATCACCCTCCTCCTAATTCAGCTACTTTATTTAGACTGTCCTGTGGGCGAGACGACCAAGGCGTCCTTTCCCTTGGCAGGTCTGTGCTCATGCCAGATTCCCTCGGCACCTTCACAAGACATCTCCGCTACCCCTTGACCCCACTCTTTTGTCCTCATTCCTGACTTTTGTCTCTTTCTTCCAAGAATAACCCAGCTCTTCCTGGTAACTAAACCTTTCAACTCACTTTACAATTGTTCTTTTAGACATCCTGAGACATAGCCTACTGTGAGCATCTCCCTTTATGCCAGTTGAGCCTTGTGCCCACCCCTCCTCCCCAGGCAAGGCAAATAAAGTAGGTGTGAGGGAAAGGCTGGGCTGACAGAAAGAGACAGTCAGCCACAGTGACACTGGAGCAGTATTGAAACACCTGCTGCCTCAATGACAAATATACATGAATGAGGAGGAGAAAGGGTGAAACAGGTGCTTATTGATGGCCATAATAGATAAACTTGCACTAATGTAATACTTCTCAGATATCACATCTCTCAAATTCTCAATTTATTCCTTTCACAAACTACTGGGAGTATCAAAAACTTCTAATGATCAAGGCCTTCATTACAGCCATAGGAGTTACTCATAAAACCTGCAGGACTTGATTCATGTTAATAGGTTCATTCTTGTGCAAAGTGTGTGGTCCACAGACAGCACTGACATAAAAACTAATTTGCTTATTGTACTTTCAGTTTATGCAGAGGGGTTTGAGATGCAGGTAAAACCTTCTGAAGCTCTCTGTCTAAAAGCTTGTGTGAAACAATAAATGGCAGAATAGATCACTCTAAACGTAAGGGGGTAAACACAGGAAAGAAATGTGTTGTTTGATTTAGCATGTTGCATTAACCCACATGCTAAACTTCCCAACTTATATTTATATGAGAACTGTCTAGTCATTACCTTTTGCTAAAGCAGCAAAGTCTTTGCTTTTGTCATTTTTTTGTCATCTCATGTGGTAGTGTAAAATGTGCACCTGTTACCGAGTGAATATCGTGTTTCACTAAAATTCATTATTCTGAGAAAAAGATGCAGCAAAATTACTTTTAGATTTTATTATAAATAACAACAACGGACAACAGGGTTCTAATAAATACAGTAACGTGGGCCAAGACATGGAGCATACAGTAATTAGGGGGTAAAACTGACTCTCATCCAGTTGATGCCAAATTGAGGCAAAACATGCACCTCATTGCTCCTCTGAAGTGAATTTATAACTGTTGTCAGGAAGCTGGACTTGTGAGTGTAAGCAAATGACACCATGCAAACAGTTTGGATAAAAATGAGCGAGGTTTTGATTAAATCTTGCATGTTTTGTAAACATGCAACACGTGGTCATTGTTAAATTCTAACAGCGGTGCAAAAAAATTCAAGAAATGTGAGTGAACAACTGGCAAGGTTATGCTTGCAACCCCTAACCATGACACATATGCAGGAACCCACCCACATCGAACAACAACAACTGAGCCAAGAGCCAGCAGCGCCAAGCCTCTGAGCTGCAGCAACAAAGTCATTCTGCGGGTTGATGGCTTTCTCATAAATAAGACTTGTCTTAAGAATCCCTCTTCATGTGTCCAAGACCAGAGCCGCACATGGTGTTTCTGATTCCATGACGCAATGGAGCATGGAAAGGTTACAGTAGTGGCGTGAGGGATACCATCTGTGTGTTTCATGTGTGTGAATTACTGCATGCATATGTACATTTACTTGTGTGTATGTGTGTTGCCTACGTGTCTACTGTATGTAGGCGATTGTACAGGAGCAGGGATACACACTAGGTACAGCATGAAAGAGAAAGACTTGCTTTGAAAGTAAGAAATAAATATAATAAGAAATTGTTTTATTCATCTGTTCTGCAGGAGCAGATTCCAGCAGGTTAGGCTTCTGCTGCTGAGGTTTTTAGCTAAATGAGTGGTGCCTGACTTTAACAAACGCGCCTGACCAGTGTTAACAAAAAGAATAGATTCATGACATGCAAAGCGATTCATTTACATGAAGTGCACCTGGGTACGGTAAGTGGAAGCAGTGACACTGACGCTGGCTGCCTGTCATGAGAGCGTGCGTGTGGGTCTGGTGTGATGAAGACCAGGGTGCACCAACAGCAGCCGTGTAGAGAGGGTGGACAGCATCACCTTTGTACACACCAAAGTAGGACTGACATAGAACTTTGATCCTGAGAAACACATCTGCATGCATCTGCACGCAACTATGTAAGTAATAAGAAATTGTTTTATTCATCTGTTCTGCAGGAGCAGATTCCAGCAGGTTAGGCTTCTGCTGCTGAGGTTTTTAGCTAAATGAGTGGTGCCTGACTTTAACAAACGCGCCTGACCAGTGTTAACAAAAAGAATAGATTCATGACATGCAAAGCGATTCATTTACATGAAGTGCACCTGGGTACGGTAAGTGGAAGCAGTGACACTGACGCTGGCTGCCTGTCATGAGAGCGTGCGTGTGGGTCTGGTGTGATGAAGACCAGGGTGCACCAACAGCAGCTGTGTAGAGAGGGTGGACAGCATCACCTTTGCACACACCAAAGTAGGACTGACATAGAACTTTGATCCTGAGAAACACATCTGCATGCATCTGCACCCAACTATGTAAGCCTACACACACACACCCACACACACACACACACGGACGGACAGCGTGACGGCATGTCCACAAACACTGTGGGTCATGAGGACATGTACACATGGATAGCAAATAAGTGGTCTGTGAAATCACTTTGGTTTGTAAATGTAGAGCTGTGCAGCCAAAAGGAGAAAAAACAAAACCCTGTAATACTGCAATACTAATACAGACTGAAATAGCCACAAATACAAGGCCTGACTGAAAAGCTACTCTGTCTCTGATTGGCCTCAAAGCCTAATGTCAGTCATCTAAGGTTTATCATCAATTCAAATTTACAGATCTGTTATGCAACAAAGGCTAGTCAAACTCCAGACCAGTGCAAAGTGTCATGCTGACAGTTTAGGACCACACAGCTTTTAGTGAATGTTAGTTACATATAGTTTTATTTATAGTTTTTTAAGATAATTAAGATTAATCTAATTGCATGAGTTTAAAGTTCTGCTTGTGTGGTAAGTTCATGTACAAATGTATAACAGCCTGTAGTGTACACTAATACACTTCAGAATTTAAAATTTGTAATACAACAGAACAAAATCTAAGGACCCCTTGCATGGTCCGTTGATAAGTAGATGTAGTTACTGGACTGACTTTGGTGATTCACTATACAAATATGGAATATTTGTCCTTATGAACTACTTTATTGGTTATTTGTTCAATTAATTACATTTTCAGTTAAAAAATGATGAAACATATGTTCAAATAGCTTGCATGTATTTTGTTTGACAGGTTCAGTTTACAATAAATACTTTTATGCAGGTTTAAACAATATTTACATGGTACTTTGTAAAATAATAGTCTCAACTTGTGCAGTCTGCTTAATTTAGCAAATCTGTGGTGAAAGTTTGCACTTGTAAAAATCAAACTAACCATCACCATATACGGTATATGTTTTATGTTGGTCTTGATCTATTAATACAGATGAGATGAAAAACATTTTCTTTACATTTAGTTGATATTTTAATATGCTTAAATCTAATCTAATCTCTGAGATCCAAATAGGTCTTATTTAATACAATACAAAACATGCCCAACCTGTTTAAGTGACAACTTTCTTATTACTGGGTTAAAAGTTAAAAGAAACAAAAACTTAACGTATTACATTTGATGTATGATAATTAAAAGAATTTACTTATAAAAGATTTTACCTGTTATGACTTATTGCAATTAGTATAATGCTGTTCAAATGTGTTTGTGACAATATCCTTGAACAATTCGTTATGACAGTTGTTCTTTTGACGTGACCAAATCCTCCATCACCAGCGGCCGTGTCAGTGGTGTTTCTCAAAACAAACCACTTCCAGGTGGACAAACAAACACAATGAACACCCACCGCCTCGACCCTGTCATGCAGTGCAGAAGGAGCAGTCTTTACTGTTGGACGTCATGTGTTTGTGTGTATACGGCGTGACGGCGCTGTGATAGTGATTAAACAAGCAACCAACCTGTAGAACAATACAACTGCACAGGTGACAACAAAGGCTACTTAACCAGACGACTATGCCGTGCGCACTCACCTCAATGGGAGACTGATTGACTGACCGGTCCCTCATACGTTCAACACATGCACACATGAAGTGTGAATGACGGCTCATATGATACACAAAGTTACCTGTCCAAGCCACAAAAACACACAGTGCAAGTCACAAGACTGCATCTGACTGCACGCACGTGTTATGTTGCGACTGTGAAAGTGTTTGTTTGATATGAACGTCTTCACTGTCTTTTGTTTGTTGTTCTTTTTTCCACACTCTTTAATCCAAAAATTATGTACGCACAGTACACGTATACATTCACGTGTGCGCTCACATGTACACATATGATAAGGTAACGTTAAACCTACATTACACAATGTTAAATAAAGTTAGTTGGCAAGATATGCTTGCTGCCTTTAAACTATTAAAATGCAAAAATCAGAATGACAAAGTCCTACAAAATAAATGTCATCATGCATTTGGAGGAATAGACAGGTATTCTGCAGGTTCTGTCATGGAAAAAAAAAACTTTACGTTAATAGGCCTTATTAATGTAAGTGATGTCACTGCCTAAATATATTACTATTTGAATTAGGCATTTTCAAAGCTTGTTAAAGACAAAGAAAACATCTCAAAATGTACCCCTCCTATCTGGACTGTGCTCATTGTCCATTACCTGTCAAATGTCAAAAACTGGACATGCAACATTAATTATGTGTTGCATCCATTTAAAACATGAGAACTTTAAGTTGAACCCAGACCATCTATTAACAGTTTTGTCTTGATCTGCCTAATCTTACCCAGATTAACCCTAATCCAAACACAGATTACATAGAGAGTGGGATCACTTCACACAGGCTAGACAACTGAGATAACTATTATTTGACAGTCCCCTCTACTGGTGAAAACAGAACAATGTAACAAAGTTAAACAAGGTGTAAGCTATAAAATGCTCACATTATTTCTTCTTTCACTACATTGTGTTACAGCCTTAACAAACCATTATTGACTGTAGTACATTAATTTTGATTGTTCAGTTTTTTTTTTTAACTAAATAGATACCTGACTATATCCAGTGGCTTCAGAAAGTATTCACATCCCTTCACTTTTTGGACACCGTTGTAGATTTCATTTTAAATTGATAAAATTGTCACTATTGCCCTTCACTTAAAAATGTATTAAAATCAAAAATGGAAACCTCTCAGTTACTAGAGTGCTAGAGCCCATTAATTCAGTACTTTGTACTTTAGCAGGAATTACAGTTTCAATTCTTCTTGGGTTGATCTGTACAACACAACCTGTTTGAACTCCTCCCCTCTGGACGGCGCTACAGGTCACTGTACGCCAAAACAACCAAACACAAGGGCAGTTCTTCCCCCAGGCCATCACACTGATGAACACTTAATTCATGACTGTATAACAGAACGACAACCCTCAGTGCAATACCTGTAAATATACCTTTGTATATATCAATCTGGAAATGCATCTAATCTGTGTGTGTATATATATATATACACACTGCTCAAAAAAAAAATAAAAAGGGAACACTTAAACAACACAATGTAACTCCAAGTCAATCACACTTCTGTGAAATCAAACTGTCCACTTAGGTAGCAACACTGACTGACAATCAATTCCACATGCTGTTGTGCAAATGGAATAGACAACAGGTGGAAAGCATAGGCAGGTAGCAAGACATCCCCAATAAAGGAGTGGTTCTGCAGGTGGTGACCACAGACCACTTCTCAGTTCCTATGCTTTCTGGCTGATGGTTTGGTCACTTTTGAATGCTGGCGGTGCTTTCACTCTAGTGGTAGCATGAGACGAAGTCTACAACCCACACAAGTGGCTCAGGTAGTGCAGCTCATCCAGGATGGCACATCAATGCGAGCTGTGGCAAGAAGGTTT